GTAGGCTATGTCAGAATAAGCGAATTTAAGTACTGCTTTTTGAAATCAGTGGGACTTCGTAGAACGCCCGCTGAAGTCAGGATGACAGACATTCGATACGGTTCCATTCTGGCAAACCAACCACATACCCAAATCTAATAGGTGTTGAAGGAGATGTCGAATCGTTGCTTGCATTCATAACAGTTAATAGTTCTCCGATTTCGTTTCCCGGTTAAAGGCATCGAAACAAGCAAAAGATTACGAATACAAAGCTGATGTGCGGCGACGAAACACGTCGGTGAACAAGGAAAATTTCATCATCCTTTCCAAATCACTGCCTTGAGCCATAAATCGAAATCCGAGGACTATTGCCCATATCTGGTTGACAAAATTTGAGACCGAAATTGCGAGAGTCTGCCTTTCAATGGTTCAAAGATATCCTCCAAAATGCCCTTACCCACGTGAGTGTCATAAAAGACCGACAAATCCACAACGTACATCAGTAAATCATTGTGTAAGAGGCCGTTTATTTAAAAATTTTATTCAGTGATCACCTTAGCGCCTTCAAGTCGCATGTCAACAGGCCCGGAAAGAAAGCTTCGATATGTATTTATTGTGGCACTGTACCCGCAGAGAAAAATTTCCTGATGGCATCGTGGAGTGCACGATAGTTAGACACGGTGAAATGATGTTTATGGATAATTTCTACAAAAAATACAACTCTACTGAATGGTGAATTTGTACACGTTGTCATCAGTTTGGACAGTTCACTGCCGCGCGAATCGCAGCGAATACTTTTCCGTTGCTGCTTACGACTCAGAGACAAAGATCATATCTGCGATCTCTAAGGAACATGAAAATGTCAATGCAAACGTGTCTTTTGCCTTTTGCAAAATGAATCGCTGGAAGTAGGGCTAATTTGATTGGATTCACTTTAGACAATTTACAAGACGTAATGACGAAAAGTGGACAGCGATGTCTTTGCCATGTTGATGGCTCGGAAAGTTGATTTCACAACATCGGCCTCAACGGTGGTTGCCCGTCAGTGCCAAATATCTGCCGTGATCAGAATCTCAAACAGCGTTCAATTTCGCTGAATCAATTGGAAGAGATCGACAGTGGTTCACAAGTTTTGGCACGCTGAGTCGATTGTAGAACAGCCATTCGTCAAGAACAGTAGAGAAGCCTTGACTTGCGTTCGCGCCGTGCCCAGCAGGAGAACAAACAAGATGAAGGACGAGAATTAAAAATGAACAAGAAGTAACGAAAATCACAAGCGCACAATGTTACTGTAAATTTTGAAGGTTCAATACGAAATTTAATAACATCTTTGCCCTTCCTAATTGGTGCAACATATGCTCTAGAATCACAGAGGTAAGTTTCACCGACTCAGAGTTCGAACGTGTCAGAAAGTTTCAAACTGAAAGATGAATACAACACGTTATACTTATATGCAATACAAGCAAATTGGTCAATCGAACGGCTAATCAGTACCGAGGTTTCGGCTCGTGTCTGACGACCTGATTTCTGCAGTTTGTTTTTTGGAGCCAAAAGGCGTGCTTTTTAGCCATGCTATCTGCTGGTGAAGCAAAGGTAGATAAATTAAGAAGGTTAAGTTTTTTTTGGGAACAAGTTTGACAAGGCCTGTATAGCCTGCGCAAAGTTAGCATATTTTGTCTCTGATAATAAGAAAACCCATAAGAAATGAGCCGAAACACCAGTACTGATTAATTAACTGAATGACTAATTTGCATGCGTGTGTGTGCGTGTGGATGCACAGTATTTCTTAATCATTTTTCAGTTTTCAGTGTGATCAGCAACGGAACACTCAATTTTTATGTTAGAATGTTTGGCAGATG